TTTTTAATATTAGTTATTCTTGCTTTGCCTTTTGAATAACAATTTTTAGTGAAGTAACCTGGTTTGTCACATTTATAACAATTATCTTTGACTTTATTATTATTGGAATTGTTAGAAGTGAAATTTTTCTTGAATTGTTCAGCATGATCCAATTCCATGGATGTACTGTAAAACTATTTGGTGTATTATAACTGAAGTATAGAGTTCTTTTGAATGCTAATTTGTGAGAGAAATTGTTGTTGAGTGATTTACCAGTACCAAATATAGCTGTGTCATATCTAATAGCTAATTTCCATGCGTCTTCCAAATTTTCTGGTGCTTGATAACTTACTTCTATTTTTGTTACTGATTTTAATCCATCAATAAAGTAAATGACTTGGTCTAGATCATCCATATCTTCTATTTGTTCAACAAGATTTCTAAACTTGGTATCATATTCCTGAACTATATCAGTTTGATAAAGTTATTTAAGTTATCTTTTCAAATATTGTTGATAATTTGGTAATTGAAAAATATTGCATAATTTTTGAATGAAAGTATCAAAATCAGCAAAGGTGAAATTGGTATTATTAATATTTATCTTCAATTTGTTGAGATATTAGTGGAAGACTGTATAATTTATTTTTGTTTCATCATTGATGACATTTTGAGCAGCAAAAATACTTTTAATTCTCAATAACCAAACCAAAACATTTTCATTTAGTTCATCTTTGTAAATTGGAATTTTGACTAGAATTTTTGGATTGTTATTTTCTCTATTATTATTTATGATAAGAGCTTGACCATTACCAGTAGTATTTCTATCTTGTTGTTGTTGTAATTGTTGAAGTTATTGATTTTGTATTTCCAATTATTTTTGATGAGATTGAATAGCATCAATAAGATTTTGTTGTTGTTTAAGCAAAGAGGCAAATCCATTCATGAATTATTGAAATTGTTATGAGTTCATTATAATATATATGTATTAGTAAGTATAAAGTGTGAGTGTTTAAAGTGTGTGTGTAAAGTGTGTGTTTGTAAAGTATATATTGTAGCTTTATAGCCTTTATCTACTGTTATCAAGTTGTAAGAATATTTTCTTATGTAAGATAAATTTATTAATTGCTGTAAATAAATTATATCAATTGACATAGTTTTCAGTTTTAATTTTAATAAAGCTTATTTTTTTATTTATTAAATAGTGAAAAGATCTAAAGAGCTATAGTATAGAACAAAGATATTTAAATACATAATTGATGTTAAATGAATTACAAATAAATTAATAATAAAATAAAGGGTGATAGGTTCTAAATTATTAATCTTAAAGATAACGCATCTCTAAGTTATGCTGTACTTAATGAAATATATATGAAATATAAATAATAATAAAAAATAATTAATATGAATTAAAAATAATAAAGAAAAAGAATGAATAAAAAGAAAAGTAATTTAAAACAATATGTATCTAAATTAATAATATAATCTATATTTTACATCTAATCTATTTGATGAAACATTAAGAAGTATTAAATGTAGATCTGTTTTAATTTCTAACATATTATACAAAAAATGATAAATATAACATGAAATATGATAGATATAATACAAGAAATTACAAGAGTATATGAAATTTATTACAATAATATTATTAATTTTATATATTTTAGTTCTTAATATATTATTTATATATTTCTAATAACTAAAAAATGTATAAGACTAAGTTTTTATAATAAAAGTGACTAAAAATTATTATTAAAGATAAATAATGTGTGTTCTTATTGTAATAATATCTAATAATTTCACTAATTTTTATTAAGTTTCTTTATAATTTTAAAAATAATAATTTAAAATAATAAGTCTTTCAAGTGATTATCTTTTAAGTCAAATATAATAATTAATTATTTAATAATAATCTATCTTTTAAGATTAAAACCAATATTAAATATAACTTTATTAAGTTATTATTAAAGTTCTATTAAATAAGAACTTTATTGAATTTATTATAAAGTTATTATTAAGTAAGCTAAGTTATATTGCATTTATAATATTTGATAGTTTTATAAATATTATATTATTATAATACTATTATTATTTTTGTTAGTATTGTATTGTTATTTTTGCTATAATCAAATTGCTAGTTTAGCTAAGATCTTATTATTAATTTAGTTCAAATCATTTTGCTAACTTTGCTATGATTATATATTACTTGTTGACTATTTAATATTAATGAATATGATCTCTTTTAGCTAGTGTCTAATAAATATTATCCAATAATATTATGCTATAAATTATTATTCAATGACATATAAAATAATTAATATAATAAAAGTTCATATTATAATAATAGTTAATTATTATATTTTCAATTCATTTTGCTTTTTCACTTTTATTTTTTTTTGTTTTTACTTTAATAGTAAATTCTTTTACTTTTTATATTTATAAAAAATATATAAATAGAGATATTATCTAAATTTTTACTTAATATTATATAACTAAAAAATAAATATACCTTTAATAAAAATCTTTTAACAGATAATATTTTTCTTATTTTTAGTTATATATATCAAAGATTATGTACTAATAGTTTTGAATTGTATTATATTAAATAAAATGCTGTTATTGACTTTAAATTATATTGTATCTAACAAAATATTATTATTAAATTTGATTAAATATTTTGGTTTTTATTATTTTGAATTTTTATTATTTTAAATTTATTATTTTGATATTTCTTATTTGTAAAAAGAACAAAGTAAAAGAGTATTTGTTAATTTATTGTTATTAATTATAATATTTTAGCTTTTAAAAGCTTTATACAAGTATAAAGAATTAGTATCTTAAAATTTATTATTTTATATTTTTTTTCTCTTTAACTTGTACTCTCTTATAACTCTTTTATATCTTATTCTTTTATTTTGAATTATTATAATTTTTGTAGAAATAGTATAGAATTTAAATATATCTGTTTTATTTTAATATTTAGTATATTTATTTAATTCTCTTATCCAATACAGGTTCAAGTTTAATAGCTAATTTAATAATTAGTGAACAAACTTGTAATAGTATAGTAACTATTCAAACTATTTGCTTAATAATAAATCATTGTGCAAACAAGATGAATTACTGCAAACAATTATTTTACAATTAATAATTGTTTGCTTGGTTTTTTCTACATGAACACAAAAACATTTTTGTTCTCTATGTTATCACATATGTGAGATGTTATGTGTTCATATTTATATAGATAATATAACATGATTTAGTTTGTGTTCATAGATCCGATGTCACATATTTGTAATTAACTAATAATATTGATATAACAATATTTTAATACGTATAATGAAATTTATAACATGATTTATATTATGATAATTCAGGCTGGCATTATGATAATTTAGCATTGGCGTAGTGACGATCTTAATTATAATAAATACCAACCAATAAAACCATGTTCATGTGATAAATATTCATGTGATTGTTTCAAATTTGGACTAATCATATAAAAAGTGACCAAGTTAAACACCTATAACTTTTATCTAGAGCTTTTTTTTGAAATTTGATCTGTAGTTTAATAGAACTTAACGAATGAAGTTACTGGTTTAATTTTTTTTCTAAATTCTATTTTTGAAAATGTTAAAAATTTTGATATCTACAATAAAAAATAATATATTTTAAAATTTTTTTACTTTTAAAACATTTTATCATCACGACTTAAACACATACTTTCCGAATTTTTCTATTTGAGACGTGTATTTATTTAATAAAAACTTGCTTGCCCGCTTTTACTATTTATTAATATATTTCCAGGCAATGAACAAATTTCATTTTACGCAAGTATGTAATAATTGGTTTTCTTTTCAATCCAATTTTTGTAGAGTTAATCGTAATCCTTATAAAAAACAGGCAAAAATTCAGCTTTTTTAGTTCCGAAAAGTCAGAGGTTTAGTAAAAACGGAAAATACGGGGAAAATATAAAATTTATACGGTAATTTTAGAACATAATATCTCACGATTCACTAATCCAATCTTGACAATATACACCATTCGAATTAGCAACACTTGGCAAATCGAATGGTGATATTATTGTTCGGATTGGACTCGTGCATCGTGAAGTATCATGTCCTCAAGTTACTGGACAAATTTTCTTATTTCCCCATTTTTATAAAAATGGAGTAATATCACATGCTCACTTGACCAAGTTGAATAAAAATAAATCCACATAATTACTGAAATTCAGGAATTTGGTCTGGTGGGGTATGATTATCATGCTTTAAATTAAGGGTTCCAAATTAAAATAATTTTTTTCAAAAAACAGCAACTTTGAACAATGATATCTTATGAATTACCAGACCATTTTTGTGAAAATTGCTATCATTGAATTCACCAAAACTAGTTTTTTGACTGATTATTTTTTACAGGGTAATATACTTAATAATCTCATTTTTAGTTATCCATAACGATAATGCTTGTGTTAGAAAACAAAAAAGCTTCATGCTTAACACTTTGGAGATTACCTCGTTGATAAGTCACATCGTTTACTTCATAATTTGTCCATCCACCAGATTCCTTTATAAATTGTTCTTTTGTAAGACATACAGCACTGGTAAATCTTTCAAAATGAATCCATAACAAGATGTATCGATTTCTCGCTGTCTTTAATTAGATTTTCCCTCCTTTTAATTTATATGCTAAATACATACATGTATATGTACATGTATTTAGTAAAATCATTTTTTTTAACACCAATCACTTATGAATCACCAATTAAATAATATATTTTCAAATTTCCCGTCACTAATAGCTATTCGTGATCTCTTTTTAACAGATGATTCACTGGACATTTTTATAGTTTTAACGGTAAAAATTAGAAAGAATTATAATAGAAGATTTATTAGACAAAATGTGAAATTAATACTTATAACTTTATTTTGACTATAGAGAGTTTATTCTAATATAATAATTTTGTGGCTATATAGAGTATCTGTATCGTAGTAATTTTTAGTTAAAATATTCATAATTTTCTATTTATTTTGGAGCGGAGGCCAGTCATGCGTCGTCTCGACACACCCTTCACTTTCAGCTCGAACCTTTTTGCAATATGTGCAAATCCCTCTACATCCTTTCGAACCCCATTCTTCCCCGCAATTCGTACAAAAAGAAAAACAAGGCTTTTCTCCAACTTCATGTTTGCATTGTTCATAAAAACCTTTACATCCTTCACTTTGGGGAGGTCGCTTGCAACAATCATATCGATTATCGCATCCGGGAGAAGCCTCGGCTTGACAGCATCTATACCTCTGCTTGCAACCAGCGTCGCCTGACTCCTTTTTACAACAGCGATAAACCAAAGTGCATCCGGGTGCTCTTATGTCTTTATCACAGCAATCCCAATGCATAGGGATTATCTCCGGCCATGTAATATTTACCTTCCACATAGTCACGGTACGAAGAATCCAAGCACCCGGACTGTTGTCCAGCACTTGTTTCGTTTCACCACCATAAGGCTTACCCGTATGGACCCATTCTGTGGTACTTGGATGGTATTGCTCCGTTAAATCAGGGTGATAGCGAACGAGATCTTTAGTGTGTTCTTGTATATTTTTACCAAGATGAGCACCTTTTTTATTGTCATGAATCCATTCGACTTCCATATGGCACTTTGGAACTGCTAGCCTTGGATCTGTTTCTTCGGGACACCTTAAACACTTGACTCTTTTAAAGATTAAAGGTATCGGATGTTCGAGATGTTCTTTCATTAAGGATTCATACTTTGCGAGTATTCGTTTCGGTTCAGAGCCTTTAAAAACACCATAGCTGTTTAATTCATCACTTGTGAAGTTTACCCTAACATAAACACTGTTATCCTCCAAACTTTCAAACAATAAAATCTTAAAATCGCCAGTTTTCGCAAGAAGGTCTTCTTTTTTATCTACTGGTTCGCCATTTTTTTTTTGATAAATCTCTTTAGTTATCTCTTTAGCCGCCTCACGAGGGCCTTGGTCAATATGATCGCCTTTAGTAACGATGATAGTATTGTCCCACACATTTCCGTTATGGTATTGCGCCAAAGATTCTATAAATCTTGCCTCACGTTTAAACGAGGTTGTTGCTCTCACATCAGCCACAACAAACCACAATATTGTTGTTATATTGCGAATTTTTTTATCCACCATCGTACGAAAAATCAAACGCACAGTTTCAGCATCGTCTTTATCTTCATCAGAATCATCAAAACCAGGCGTATCAACGTAGAAGGAGCTATTTCCGATATCATGGAACGTAACTTTTTCCGTCTTGGATTTGGTACCATTTCCGACTTCGGCATCTTGTGCACCAAAAATGGTTCCCGTAAAGCTTTTTCCGTTCCCCGTCTTTCCTATTGCAAGAATGCATCGTTGATGTAACTAAGTAGTACATACGCGTCAAACATAAGTAATTATTCAAGTGTCTCGAAAATGACAATATCATCATACGGATGTTGCATACACTTACGTTTACATCATACATCTTGAATAAAATATTTAATATGTAAGAAAGTGTTTGCTTAGAGAACAAAAAGTCAAAGTAGTAAATCAAACCAGAGATCATGTCAATTTATTCAATTTTTGCCTGTTAGCAAAAAAAGCATATTCGCAAAGTCTCTGCTGTGATGATGTATTTTATGTCATTTTCTTCCCATGAATAATATTTGGTAAATAATTTATTGCGACATGTATGTGAATTTTTATAAATTAATAATCAATACCCTATATCGATATGATATATAAAATCATGATAGCAAATTTTAATTGATATCATGGAAAAAACCCGAGAAAGCATGGGAAATCTAACTGATGTGATAAGGGGCGTGGGGCTGTGGCTAGAGCTTCGAACCACTAATATATTGCAGAGATGCGTATGGCGAACAAGTTTGATTATTACGTGAATAATTATATTAATAAAAAATGGACTTTTTATGGTCCAAAAATATATTTTATTCTATTTTCGTTTCGGGTCAACCCGAACCGAATCGGCCACTACTGAAGATCAATATGTGCACAAAGAAATTTCAAAAATGAGCAACAAAAATGGAATAAATGTGCACAGCCAGTGGCTTATGGACAGTTGATGGCCGAGCTGGCTCGAGACTCGTCAGTTGCTGGCACAGCTGGCTTCTAATTTTGGATGGTTTCGAACACTAATGTGTGATTAGGGTCAGAGATAGGATTACATGTAAAATCAGATTTAGGCATCTACTTCTTGTATGTTCACATTTTTCATTTTCTTGTATCGGATTTTTTTTCCAGGCTGATAAAATTTACGCCTTATTTCAGGCTTGTATCGATTACACAAATATTCATTTTGGTTAGGCGAGATATGATACACATGTGATCCGAGTTTCGGAATAAACAACCGGAGTTAACATTCCAACACAACTCAAAATCTTGCTGTCTAAAATCTCAGACTTGCTGTCCAAACTCATAATTAATGATTTTAAACACGAATTTTCAATATCGTATCTCTGGAACATCAAGAAATGATACCGATGGAGTGGTAGTAAAACAATGCTATGCTGACCTGTCTCAAAATGATTTTAAAGACATGAGACATAAATGCAGCCCCTTTTTTCTCTTTCGTAAGAAGGTTGTTAAAGTCCTTAAAAAAAAGTGGAAGAGTAAGAAATTCTGGCAAAGTTTCTAAGTCGCTTCTGAATTATGGGAAAAAATACATCCTCATGAAAAGAAAAACACAATCAATTGTCCACTGCATTATCTCGTCAACATGTCGTTTGGTCAAATAGCTATTTGCAAAACAACCGCCAACGCCAATTGCTAAAGTGGCTAAACCCGAACTTTTTACCTATTCTGGACAAACGAAGAGTCAGAATTATTGGATTACAACTATCATCCTAACGCTAACGCTAATTAAAATTGTACCTAAAAACATGTATCATAAATATTTCTTTTGTACTGTTACCGTAATGACATTAAATCCTTTAATTCCGTAATTTTTCCCTAATTTCTACATGAATATCTTTCCATAGTTCTTTTCTACATTTAATCTTCCAATTCCATAATTCCTACAAGATCTTGCACATTCGTATTTGTAAGCCAAATTTAGAAATACGTAGTTAGTTACGTATGAATGAACATCACTTTTTCGCATATCGATATTGATTACCTAGAGAACAATTATTTAGGGACAATGATGATCCTTTAGAGACATCGAACGATAATTGCTTGATTGTTTTTAGAAAGAAACAATCAATGTAAAATACTAACCTTAGAATTAGCGTAGTAATTCAAAAACTGTATATGTAAAGGTGCTCTTGAGCCTCTGAGAAGACATGCTTTGATCAAATAAAATAACAAATTCTTACTTGTAATAATAGTATCACTAGTGGATGCTCTCCACTTTAAATAAGCTGTTGATTCTCTTTTAATTGATATTTGTTTTTATTTTTATTTGATTTTGAGTTTTTCTTTGTCCAGGCTGAATCAATAAGTCCTGTTGTGATTGAAAGGTTACTTTGATTTTTGTTGAAAATTAGGATTTTATTATTATATTCTGTTTTTAAATACATCTATCTCTAAAAGTTAATTTGCGTACAAGCTGCCACAGGAGACCATTAGAACGCCTAAAGAACCCCTTTTTCCGTCAATTATTCAGTCTCGCTCATATTTGTGTTGTGGAAAACCTCTCTAATTAAATAATTCAGAGGTCGACGCAACAGTACGTTAGCATTTTCGAACATGGATTAATGAAAATAAGACCATGTACCGGTATCTTAAAGTATATAGTTAAGCATATAATTAAATAATGATAAATTTGAAAAAATTAATATCGATATTGATATAGCGATAGGGTTATAACATAAACTGCACTGTACTGTCTAGTTTGTTATTGTACTATGCTATGTATTTTTAAGATAACTTATATTCCGAACCCATATCCTGACCCTTTTTCAATACAATGTACGTAGTAGTTCCTCAATAATATAATCGGAGGAAAATAATATCCTGTATTTTATTGGAAAAGGACGGTTATCTTACTGAGGAAACTACTATCCTGTTCTGCACTATTTCATTCATTTACTGTATACGTATTGGATAGGTATCGGCACGGTTCGGAATATAGGTTATCTTAATACATGTTGTGCAAGTAGATCGTAATTAGGCGTAATTAACGATTTTACCTACAACAATTGAGGGAGAGAGAGTGTATAGACTGATTTGTACTCGTTCGTTATCTAATTCCTGTGCCGATATCTACGGATATCGTCAGGTTTGGTAATATTAGAGGGGGCTTTACGAGGATTTGTGTTTAGGTTAAGAGGATTTGGAAGAGTCGGTTTTCTTTAATTTTAAGTGACGGGTTATTTCTATTAACAGTATTTAATAATAACAATTGCTTTTTCTAGACAAAGCCTAAAACTATACGTTTTACTATCAATCAACATGTCGTTTAATCAATAACAATGCCTTTTCTGGATCAAAGGACCCAACCGTTAATCGTTTCAATCTTTTAACAAAGCTATACTACGGGGTGAAAGAATTGTACACAATTATTTCATTTTACAAGAGTTATGTTACTTGGAGAAGAATTGTACGCAGTTAACTCTGAATTTTATTGACGTCCGTGAGGACTATATATACATTTTGGTTTTTACATCGTAGAGTTAGAGTGTTGCCCTAGATTCTATTACTATGTATACTATTGAAGAGAGAGAACTTTTTCAGAAAAAGGAAATAAAGTAAAATCAATCAAAAGCGAAATCGTGATTACAAGCGTGGGAGTGAAAGCGAAGTGAAACAATGAGAAACGGAAAACGAATTCGTGAATAAAAGTAGAAAATTGATGGCGAAGTCGAAAGCGAAAAACGTGAAGACAGTGATCTAAAGATCAGTCAATAACGAACAACAGGTTGATAACGAAAGCGAAAAACGGATGAATAAATAAAAAAGGTAAAACGAGTAACAAAAAATGAGCTGACAATCAAATGTGAAAGCGAAAAACGTAAACAAAAAAAGGCAGATGAAAGCGAAAAACGGGGAAACAATCAAAAGTGAAAAACGTGTAGATGAAAAGCGAATTTCGTAAACGACTTACTTTTTTTGGGAAGAGGAAAACAGGAGTCGATTTACACTATGGAACTCGGATAATCAAAATGACTTGTTAGGATCGGGACGAACGGGCTCCTTCGGAAATCACGAGATCAACGAAATTTGTTACACTTTGGTAACAATAAAAATCCTCCTTTTGCAAGATTTTCAACATTGGTAAATCTTTCATTCCGCTAAACCAACCATTCAGCTTTATAAAATCGTTCTTCCATTTATGTGTGTTAAAAGGAGAATAGCATCGGTTTCTATGCATGAATAATGAGACAAACGCATAAAAAAGAAGACTATTATTTCTTTAATACAGCAAATGCGATTTGCATGCATAATATGTCGTTTTTTAAAGATATAGCGATAAGAATAGTAATCGTTCTTCCATTTGTGTGTTAAAAAGAGAGTAGCATCGGTTTCTATGTATGAATATTGAGACAGAAGCATAAAAAAGAAGACTTAATACATCAAATGCGATCTGCATGCATAATATGTCGTTTTTTAAAGATATAGCGATAAGAATAGTAATCGTCAAATTTACGGGACAGAGAAACACAGTTCTCTATTTATTATTTAAAAGATATATCTTTTGACTTGTTTATCAGAGTCTTTATATGTCCTAAGATATTTCCTATGACTGTTGTTCGGACAAATCTTCATATTATCGATATTCTTGGGTCTATATAAAACTTCTTGATGTACGTGCTTCGTTATCATCATGATACTACGTATTACTAACATTATCATTGTTCGATTAAATACAATATTAGTAATATCATTATTGCTTATATCAAAGATATTCTTAATATTGAATTTGACTAATTTTGAATCTCCAAAATGGGCGTAATTTCAGTAAGAGTTATTCTGAAGTAGCGAAAATACAAATATGAACAAAAATCCTGAGGAAGTGCATTGTTTGAATTAACACACTTTATAACTAGATTTTTGTATCCAAAAATCGAGGGTGCAGTTAGTTTATCGTTAAGACTGATAATATTCCATAAGAAATTGGTACACACAAAATTCGGGTTTAAAAATTTTTAGAGAAGAAAGTATGAGTAGTGAAAAAATTTTTTTCTCGTGCTTTTGGCTCTATACAGGCTTAAAACAAACAAGCAATGCTTCATAGAAAAAATGTGTAATTACGTAATGTAAAAATATAAAAGTAATTTAATGTATTATATTCAAACTCTTATAAGTGTGTTACAGCATACGTATGTCAATAACTGCATGCACATGTACCGGAATCAAATACCCCCTTCCTCCCCCTTTTTAGTAATTTGTTGTAAAAAATCCGTACGTATACATGTACATGTACTATACATAGTACTCCGGGTACATAACGTTCAGCATATACATGTATTATTACATGTACATGTACATGTATATGTATTTAGTAAAAAATAAAGCGATTAC